TCACATATATATACAGTACAGCCCCTCCTCCTGATGTCCCGCCTTCCACTCCCCATAGGATGGAACTTTCCCTCCAAACCCATGACAGACAGGTAACATCAGTGCTGTATGTAACACCTCCCCTCTTTATAAGTTGTTTTGTAGGGGGAAAGCTAAGGTGCTTTTCTCCAAAAAACAACCTGGATAAAACACACAAAACAGTTATACATACCATATCATACTTACTTAAACTTACATTCTAAGTTAACCATAGCAATTAGGCATTTAAACATTTACCATATACATTACATCAATTTACCTTTATTCATACAAACCAAATTCAAAAAACAGGTACATTTAACTTTTTGTCATCAATATATACACATAGTCCATGTTCTTTCGCCGTCTTCAATCTTCAGGTCTTCTTGACAAGGCGTCAGCAACACAGTTCACTGACCCTCTGACCACCTTCACTTCAAAGTCATAGTCTTGCAAGTTTAAAGCCCACCTCATAAGTTTGCTATTGTGGGTTTTCATTGTCTTTAACCATTGCAATGGTGAATGGTCAGTGCACAGAATAACAATTATCATCATCATCATCATCCTGATGATGTGATGTCAAGTAAATTCTGACATGGCAACCACTTTCAGGGCTTCCCAGGTAGAGAGTACTCAGAGGTGGTTCACCATTCTCTTCTTCTTCCGGGGGCAGGTCTGGCTCTACTCGCAGGAGGCCCAGTGGCGAATCAGTCTCCCAACCTCTGGCTTCACAGCCAGATACCTTAACCTAAATTGAGCCGCCCGGCCAGCACGTGTTTTAAAACAAGTATAATTATAATTACATGGCGCCAAGTTGATTCCAACCTACCACGACCCTTTCCAGGGTTCTCCTAGCACAAAGTCCCCCTAAGCCCTTCTTCTGTCTAGAGGACATTTTGGGAGCATGTGGCTTGGCCAAGACAACAGATGGTGGCTGTTTTCACAGTGGAAAACTGCACCATCTTTGCTCTGACTCCCTGAGCCATCCAGTCACCTTTATACAAGGACTGGTGTTAATATCTGATAGTCTGTTAACATGCAGAAAGCTGAGGAAGACTATTAAAATCCTTGACCAGTCGCATTATTATTTGCATAAGAGCTCTCTTAAAGCAGTCCTTGGGGTTGGGAGAGAACCCAAAAGATTCATTGGCATTACAAAAATTTCCGGAGGGAGAGCTATGTTTATCTGTTGCAGCAAAAACCAACAGGGTTTCAAGTGGCGCCTTAAGGAAGAACTGTTTCTATTTGACATAAATTTTGGGGTGGAGCGTATCTCTTCAGATACAAAGGAGGAAAGCCTCCGCAGACAGGCATATATTGTAGGTCTCTCTGCTCAGGTCTTACTCCAAAGATATACCCAAAGATTTTCATTGCAATTCCTTCTCTGTTTTTCCTCCTGCTTTCTAGAACATTAGGAGCGATTCCAGCCCTATTGTTAAGCATAGGAAGGTGACCCTTTGTAGCAAAAGGTGTCAGATATCATGAAAGGGAAATAAGAAGGGACAGCAAAAAACAACAACAAAAAACAACCCCATGTTTGTCATTCGTGTATCATTGAGAGAGGAGGGCAGTGTCTGTGGAACTTTCCGTCTCAGGTTTCAGTATAACTTGGTTGTCTAGAAGTGTTTGTGCTCAAGTTACAACTGAGTTATAGCAATCCTTACAGGGCTTTTGAGGTAAGTGAGCTATTTGATTAATTAAAATACTTTTACCCCACCTTCTCTTTAAAAGCATCATTACAAGGCAATATTGAAGCTGAAAACAGTAATCATGCAAGTAATATAAAGGCTCAAACAAATAGCACACTGAGATGCAGTAAACAAGAAGAGTTGGACAAGCCTCTGTCAGAACTGCTTTGATTTGGGTTCCTGCCTTGAGTAGGGGGTTGGACTGGATGGCCTTAGGGGGCCCCTTCCAGCTCCATGGTTTTATGATTTTATGGCTCGCTCAGTGATTCTGATCTAGAGACACTCCTGAAAGTTTTATTTCTCTCTAGACTTCTGGGACATTATCAGTCTTTGGACACGACACATGTTTTCCAACACTCTTTTCACACTCTTCAGGCATTGAAGCTGCCCCAGTTTGTAACATGAATGTTACCTGAGGCTGTTTAAGAAGGGGTCTCACATTAACAGCAGTGTGTGCTTGGAAAATAATGACATCTGGCAAACAGGTTTCATCCAGGAAGTTTGGATGTTTGTTCTTACCTTTACGTTTTATATATATATTTTCCCCAACAGATTCTTCATCATGGGCAGTTCTCCAAGCTCTGGCAAGGAACATTCAAGCAACAGCCTGTGGCCATCAAAGCTTTTTCCCCTCTGGGCCATTGGCAATTTGAATCGGAGTGGGCTGTGCACAGCCTCCCGTTGATGAACCATGACAATGTGATACAGCTGGTGGCTGCTAGATGCGGAGGACCCAGCATGGAACAAGGTGGTCTCCTGGTGCTGACGCTGTACCCATTGGTGAGCTCTGTGCACAGCAGTAGTAGCTGAGATGATTCGGGTTGTGTACAAATGGTCCCTTGTGCATACACCAGGCAAACATTTGCCTGTATCTATGTGTTGCATATCTTTTTTACAGACACAAGCACAGCACGACCTGGGATATTGTCCAGTTGCAGCAGCAAACTGGTGTCCCTTGTTGCAGTGGCTCATTAACTAGTAATGTGCTGCTGCAATTTATGCCACTGTATTTAAACCAGTGTTTCACTAACCAGTAAGTTTCTGTCTTATCTATATTTTTACATCCCCTCAGTTTTTCCACGTAAGCTACAAAAATTTTGAGTCTGCATAAGAAAGTGTAACCCTGTTGGCTTCTTAATTTGGCATTTTTTTCCTAAAAACAATGGGCATGTTTCTAGCTCTTATGACTATTGAAAAATAGGTGGAAGGATGCAGACACTGCCTGGTGTGATTTCAGAGGCAGGAGGGAGGATGAGATGGGATATGTCTGTGCTCTGGTGGGGGGTATTCACATGTGCCAGTCCACATGTGAATGATGCATGGGTGAGAACACATAACCGTGCTAGTTTGAGTATACCTGTGGCCTATTCTGAGTTGAATAGCATTGCCTTTGCAGGGGTCATTGCGAAATTTCCTCGGCCAGCATGTTTGTTCCTGGGACATCACTATTCGGCTAGGATCATCCCTTGCCAGGGGCCTTGCTTTCTTACATGGGGAGCAGTGGAAGGAAGGTAGGAGGCAACAGGTGTTGAGCATGTCCTTTGCTGCCCTGGAACTTTATTTATGTATTCATTCAGTGGTTTGTTTGTTCAATGTTTATACCACTCTGCTAGTGGTATGCTACTACTCTGGGAGGTTTACAAATGAGATACATAAAATGTAGAAGCCTCAACACACATACCCCAGTCCATAGGTAATCTAAAAAGAACCCCAAAGAAAGCCCCCATGGTGATGATGCTTACAACACAAAATCAAAATACAGTAGGATCTCTATATCCATGGCAGATCAATTCCATAGCTCCTCCCTCAAATGCCAAAAACCATGGATAATAATGAATGCTGTACATACTGTAGCGTGGTCTGTGGAGATATACATACCCACCCCCACACTCACACACGTATGCACACAAATAGTATGCAGTACAGTACCTGCATGGTAAAATCAACTCTGCCTGGTTATCAGGCAGAGTAATTTTATTGCTGCTATTGTCAAAGAATTTTAAATCGCTCATGATCTACAATGAATCACTGAGAGACAGACCATGTCACTTGGACCTCCTTTGTGCCTAGTCCTGCACTACACAGAGTCAAAACTATTTCCCAGGTTCAGGGGAGCAAACATATTAATCTGTTGCAGCACAAATGACAGAATTAAGTTTTAGCTTAAAGTCTGACACAGTTTATACTGGCATAAGCTTTGAACACAGTTCATCCGATGGTTGAAGTCTTGTGGGACCTTAAAGGCACACATCTTATGACAGCATAAAATCTTATGGACTACCACGGTTTGTCAGATGCAAAAAATATATTACATCAGTTGGCAGATTATTGTGCATGTCCCTGTATAGCTGAGGGGTTGCTAATGATGGGATCAGAGGAAACCAGAAGGCAAAGAGGGATGATTACTTTAATAGAAGCTATTAAGAAATAGTTGTTAGTGGTAATACAGACATTCATTGATGAGCTGATTAATGCATGGGGTATGACAGCAAGCCTTTCGGGGGGGGCAATCAAGCTACAGGGGTAGATTTGAACCTCTCGATGGATTCTTGTTCAAACCACTGCATTTCCTGTGGCTTGAATAGGAACAGAAGCTTTTTCTCTTACTGTGTCACTCAGATACTTGACATGCGGGAATGAGTGTGCCACCTAACTGCTCTTTGTTAATGGCCACCACTAAGGTAATTCACCCTATTGGCGCTTTTTGCATTTCAGTACCCTTTCGCTCCACTGATTAGAACCCTCCAGCTACACCCACTCCCCTGCATGTGCCTCATAATCCGCTGGTCAGGTATGGCATGCCAGTGTGGTATGAGGGGAGGGCTAAGGAGAACTGGGTTCAAATCCCTACTTTGCCATGGAAATTCACGCAAGGGTGGCAATCCTCAACTAAGCTTTGAACACCTCATATAGTAGCTCAAAAACCCTGTGAGAGACACCATACAAGGGGAGCAACTTGATGGCCCATCTCAACAATAGAAGTTAGATTACAGCAACATCTGGAGGGCTGCAAGTTCTTTTCTCCTTGTTTGCTCCTGCTGGCAGCTTTGGGGGAAAATAAGACCTTTTCTTTCTCTTCTTTCTTTTCTTTTCTTTTCTTTTCTTTTCTTTTCTTTTCTTTTCTTTTCTTTTCTTTTCTTTTCTTTTCTTTTCTTTTCTTTTCTTTTCTTTTCTTTTCTTTTCTTTTCTTTTCTTTTCTTTTCTTTTCTTTTCTTTTCTTTTCTTTTCTTTTCTTTTCTTTTCTTTTCTTTTCTTTTCTTTTCTTTTCTTTTCTTTTCTTTTCTTTTCTTTTCTTTTCTTTTCTTTTCTTTTCTTTTCTTTTCTTTTCTTTTCTTTTCTTTTCTTTTCTTTTCTTTTCTTTTCTTTTCTTTTCTTTTCTTTTCTTTTCTTTTCTTTTCTTTTCTTTTCTTTTCTTTTCTTTTCTTTTCTTTTCTTTTCTTTTCTTTTCTTTTCTTTTCTTTTCTTTTCTTTTCTTTTCTTTTCTTTTTTCTTTCTTTCTTTCTTTCTTTTCTTTCTTTCTTTCTTTCTTTCTTTCTTTCTTTCTTTCTTTCTTTCTTTCTTTCTTTCTTTCCGCCTTTCTGCCTTTCTTTCTTTCTTTCTGCCTTTCTTTTCTTTCTCCTTCAAAAGGACCGAAGGCAGCTGATCCTTTCCCCTTTGCTTGCTCAAGTCTGTGGCCTTGGACATTTTGCACACAAAGCATGGATTCTGCCCCTGAGCAACATGCCCCCTTCTTCCTTTTCCTCTGCCTCCCTAGTGCTCATCGTATTGTTAAGATTATGTGGGAGCTTAAGCAGCTGATCTCTAATGAGCTTGGCTGCTAGTGCTCTGTTCTTTCTTCTAGGTCTGCATAAGCCTGGCGTGGCCCACCAAGACCTGAGCAGCCAGAATGTGCTTGTACGGGAAGACGGGACCTCTGTCATTGGTGACTTTGGCCTTGCTGTGACTTTGACGGAGAGCCTGAAGCACTGGAGGGAGGATCCTGCACAGCACATTGTTCGCACGGTATCTATGGGGTGCAGAAGAACAAGGGACACCTAGAGGAGGAGGAGGAGCACCAAGAGATGTGAGAGAGATTCCAAATGGGCAAAGGACAGCCCGTCAGATATTCCTGGATTGCAGCTTCCTAGCCAGTATAGTTGGTGGTGAGAAATGCTAGGAGGTGCCCTTCAACGACATCTGGAAGGTCACACCCCAGTTTATTTATTTAGAATAATTTATGGATTGCCTTTAAACAATGCATGCTTTGTGTATAGCAATAAAACAAAACATACACTCAAAATAGTAAATAACATAATATCTGGGAGTTGTAACTGAAAAGAATAACTTTCCCCACCTCTGTTCTGACTGTTGGTAGAGCTGACTCTGCCCGCTTCCAGGAAAACACACCTAGGATTAAAAACAAAAACAAAAAACACCAACCAATTGGCCAAAATCAATTGATTTAAGTTACAGGAAAGAAGATGCTGACTAAACATTAGGGGAAAAAATCCTGACCCAAACCAAGGAATTCAAATGATATGAGAGGAGATTCAGACTAAACATTAGGAAGAACTTCTTCCTGGCAAGCACTGTTTAATCCTGGAATGGATTCGGGTTGGAAGAGTGAGGACTCTCCTTTGCTGAATGTTTTTGAGACAGAGATGCTTTAGGTGTGGATTTCTTCTGTGGGCAGGGGGTTGGACTGGTTGACCCTTGGGTCTCTTTCAACTCTGTCATTCTATGATTCTGTGAAATTGTAAAAACTCTTCCGATGCAGGGTCAAGGGTCAAAGACTTTGAACACAGACCAGTCTTTGCTGTTCTAGTAGCTATGATTTCACAATGAGCAGTTCCCTTTGAAATGATGTATTGGGCTTTTGTTATCAGGAGCCAAAGAGGCAGCTCGTATTTGGAAAAGTTTCTCTTTTAACAATGGCTCCCACAATTCCAAAGAGGGCCAGGCTGGCTAGAGGATGATGTGAGCTGCAGCCCAGGAAGGAAACAGGTGTAAGCTGTAACCATATAAGAGCTTCTCGATACTGCACTGAACCTCTGAATTTAGGTTGGCCCTGGACAAAGCAACTGCATTTTGCCTGTAAGCAGTTCCAAGCAGGAAATCTGTAAATGCAACACTCGTTATTCACTCATGTTTTCTCTAGGCTGAGCCCCCACACTACGTAGCTCCTGAAATTCTGGATGGGAACCTGAACCTCAAAGACTTGGGTACGGCATTGAGGCAGGCAGATGTCTACTCTTTGGCGCTGGTGCTGTGGGAAATGTTCATGCGATGTTCAGCACTCTTCCCAGGTAAGCAAGGAAAGAAGAAGGAGCCATCGCAATCCCTACAGTTCATCCACACACACCCAGAATCAGCATCCCGCTCCTCCCAGTGTATGCTTTCCCTTGACAAGAGTAAGGCTCGCCAATCATGATATAGGCAATTTTCAGGAATGAGGATTTGAGTCACAGGACTTGCTGTCAAATCAGACTTAAGTCACACTGGTGACTTGGCTAGGGTCTCACCCCCCCACCCCCAATAACTTGGCCTTGACTTGCGACTTGGAGCTTACTCCTGCCTTTCTTCTAGCTTGTTTTAAAAAGGGACTCAGGCTTGAGACTTGGTACCAAAGACTTGGACTTGGGACTCAGATCCAAAGACTTGCCAACATCCCTGGTAATTTTATTATTTCTTCTGTAGAGCTCAAGCAGCTTATGAAGAGGAATAGAGCCGGAAGACACTACAGAGAGGAATGATTCCCCCATCCCTGTTGCTTATATATTAAATGTTTTATTTTTAAATTTGGGAGACCTAATCACATCGCGCCCATGTCCTCAGTGGTTTTACTCTAATTTATTGATTCAGCATCACAGATCAAAGCAACATTAAACAAAAGTTACAAAGACACTCCACATGAAAAAGTTTCACGTTGACGATCACTTATCATTAAGACCTTCATTTTATGATATAAGGTCTGGAATCCAGATGCAGATCTGGCACAGTAGCTCAGAGATTAATTATTTATGCTTTAGGTCCAGGATGGGAGAACTCTTGCCCCCCCCCCATCCACAGGTATTCCTTTGAGAGAAAGCTGGGTTGCTTGTCCACAGTAGCGGAGGATAAGGCCAGAGTCAAAGGCTGGTGTGTCAAAAGCCAGACCTGGGACAATGGAAGAAGCCATTCATATACAGACACATAGAAATCAATCTCTCTCTCCACCCCCCCCTCTCTCACACACACACACACACACACACACACACACACACACAAAATCTTCAGGACTGATCAGCTGTTTCCCCAGCAAGCACCACGGGAGGAACTGAAGAGGGAAGAAGGACTTACCTCCTGCCCATTCACTTTCTCCTCAGGCCACACTGTGCTGTTCAGCTCAGGAGGGAGGAAAATAAGGCTCCAAGAGGGACAGGGACTCTGGCCTTCTACCTCTTGCTCTGCAGCCGTTTCCCAGTGTTAGCTGAGCAACCTGGGATCAAGAGGTGATGAGATGGGGGGGCTACACCTCTCCCCCCCTGCAGTTTCAAACTCATCTCTGCTGCTCATCAGATTAGCAGGAAAAGGAGCTCCTCTCCCACTAATTGTCTTCTCTGCCCCTTGTCTGCCATGCTGCTCCTCAGGTGAGCCCTTTGCCATGTTTGTGAGGGACAAGCAAGGCTGCAGAGAGGACAGACCCCGGCTGGAGGGGCCCATATACCCAATGGAGGCTGGGGGTGGTGATGGTGGCTTCAGTACCTTCATTTAAAAAAAATATGGATCAAGGTGGCCTCTCCATATGTTGGAAGCCTTTTATCCATCTTAGCATAGCTAATATTACAGGTTTGGGGCGGTGGAGGCTAAAAACAAACACATTTATGGGGGATTGTCTGAGAAACATTTTTAGTGGACGTCTATCACCTCAAAAGGGAAGAAATAAGTTGATTTTTCTTTGTCAATAACAACAACAGCAGCAACAGCAGCAGCAGCAGCAAAGCTCTCAATAAATGGCCCCAAATGGTCCAAAAAAATCTGTATCCTACCTATCTGCAAATACTGTATGTCAGGATTAGAGATGGGGTTATTCGTATAGGAATACTCCCCTCTCTAGTCAGGATGCACAAAGGGTGGCAGTAAAGGCCCCATGTGCACATTACATGTAAAAAGGTTACATAGAACGGCTATTCTTGGAAGAACAGCTATTCTTCCAAGCCCACCCTTAGGACAAAGTGTGCCCTCTTGAACACCCCCTCCTGCCTTCTGCTTCAAAGCTGGGATCCAGGGGTGGCGTTCCTGCTGCTTCTCCATTCTCTCGCAGCCCCTTGTGGCCCCACAGGAAACCCTATTCCTGGCCTCAGAAACCCAGCGGGTTCGGCTTGTGGCTCTACAGAGGCCTGAAGTGGGAAGAGCAGGAGAACAAGCCACACCAAGGGTAGCATTGCACCGTTTTGTGTGTGTGTGTGTGTGTGTGTGTGTGTGTGTGTTGTTGTGTATTTTCAGTGCATAAAGCACTTGGTATGGTTGTCTCTAAGTAAAATACAGTACCTGCCAGCTGGGTTTTATCTTTAAAATGGCATCAAGCTAGAAATTGAAGAAAAAAGAAACATTCTTTAAAGATATGGAATGGAAGTTCCTCTGGGCAGGAGGCTCATTTTTGCAGTTAATGCAAAAAATGACCTGTAGAATTCCAGGATGTGGGGACTTCAATAGACCTCTTTTGTTTGTTGCCAGAAATCACTGAAGTAGTGCAATCCACAAACAGGAACATCAGCTTTATCCCAGTGCTGCCAGTGTGGCCTGACTCTCTTGTACATATGATTTATCAACATAATTTAATTTAATGGAGCTGATATAGGACACACACACACACACACCCTGATGTTGTGGCACACTGTGGCCTGGATGGTGTCACTGTTTGCTCCAGAGGTAAGCAGCAGGGGTGGAGGTAGTGGCTTGGAAACGCTCCCACCTTGCTGCAGAAGGCTGTGCGCCCACCTCTAGGGTTCCTCTTCTCTGGTTGAAGTCATGGTTTTCAGAGCATTAGCCATGTTAATCTATTCCAGCCACAGCAAAAGCCAAAGTACTGCAACCCACCACGAAGACTAGCTGCTCTCTTTCGGTGTTCATTTCTGTAGATCACTGATGTGGCCCCACTGCCTTGACACCTGTTCTGAGACCTGCTCTTCCGGGGATCTCGTGAGCAGTGGGCAGCTTGGAAAGAGCTGTTTCAATGTCCCACAATGACATCGGCAAACATTAGGTTGAGCATATTGAAGTAGTGAAGGTGCTGCCAACTGAAAATGGGGCATGGCAGCTTTCAGGCAGTGGATATATGGGGCAAAAGAACACACGCACGCACGCACGCACGCACGCACGCACCCTTTTTAATCTCTTGTGTTTTTGCTTTCCTAGAGGGTGCCACCCCTGAGTTCCAGCTGGCCTATGAAGCAGAACTGGGCAGCAGCCCTACACACAATGAATTGTGGAGCCTAGCTGTTGAGAAAAGGCAGAGGCCCGCTATTCCTACAGCTTGGAAAAGTTTTGGGCAGGTGAACCCTATGCTCGCTTATCTCAACATTACTTCTGTTTTGAGAAATATGTATAGGATTGTAATGTTACTTCACCATCTCTAGGATCTTTTGCCATCAGGAAGGACCTTGTTGGCAGCTCATAATTCACAATATTTTAAAATTTACTTGGCCTTAATCCAGCCAGCTCATTAATGAATGAGTTGGTTGGGGAGCTCAGTGGTTTAGGTAAAGCCAGAGGTCAGGGGTTCAATTCCCCACTGTGGGGCCCTGGGTGAAGAACCAGACTATGTGGCCTTGGCCAAACTACACAGCCCCAGGGCGACCCACAGAAGAAGGGAAGAGCAAACCGCTTCTAAGTACTCTCCACGTGTAAAGCTCTGAAAAGGGTCATCATAGCTCTCAATTGGCTTCATGACACATCATCATCATTATTTATTAATCAATTGTATTTTTCAGATGTTAAATTATTAAAACAAAAGAGCAATGCATCATAAGAAACCCTCCCCACACAATTAATACAAAAAAAAGAGAACAGTACAATATCACAGCAGAATAAGAAACACAAGTATAACTAAATCTAGAGGCACACTGGACTACATTACACATCAGATAGATTTATATATGACTATACTTCTACATTAAAATAAAACAGCCAAACTAAAAATAGCGGCAGGAAGCTGTGACTTTGAGCAGAAAATCTCTGCTTGCAGCTCTTTTTTAAGAAATGAGGTGAGACTGTTTCAATTTATGTGAACATAAAATGTAGCTTGGTCCCCAATTTCAGCTGAAGATGCCTTAATGTGGATTTGAATTTCTGAGGTTTCAAAAGGAAAAGTACACTTTATTTTCAATGTTACAAAATGTATAATTATTTTACATTATATATTCTAAAGGCAAAGATGCATCTGTTTCGTACCTGTCTTTCTCCTCACAACAACACTATGGAGTAGAATAGTATGACTGGGTTCAGATCCAACACCCCAGGTCTTTGAGTTCTCCCCACACACACACACACACACAGAGATGATGAGGCTTCTTCTGATTTAACAATAAACATTTTTATTCAAAAAAGAGGGGGGGGATTGCTTCTCCACCGCCTCAAAGGCTTCATCGTAACAGGTGAAGAAACTAGACTCCATATCTGGAATGGCTGAAGCATCTATTCTGGACCTAACGTCTGACCGCAGGAAACGTCTCCTAGTCAGGCCAGGGATGCAGTTGTGGATGCTGGCAGGTGCACAGGATTGCACAACATGGGTGATGAGCCCACTCCCCTTCCATCATTCCCTCCTTTGGAATAACCCCCCTCTTGTCCTTCCTGGGACATCTCTCTTTCTTCCTGGGTTCAGCTGCTTTCCATGTCTTCTCCCCATTACTGTACCTTGAACCCAGGCCCTTTCCTTGGCGGCTCTCTCCAACCACCTTTGTTCTTGTCTTTCCCTTCCCCCCCAGTAAGTGGAGCTTGAGTGGAGTTCTCCTATTTTCTATCTTTTCGGCCTCTCTCTTTGTTAGAGTGAAGGTGGCCCATTCCCCAGTCCACGGGTCCTCTAGGACCCCCTGGGCATATCTGTTCCCCTTTCCTTCCTCCAACTGCTCCCTTTATCTCTCTCCTCTCCTTTTATACCTCACCTCTTTCCTGCCCTTTCTCTTCCTCTACCTGTTTCTCTTTCCCAGGTTTTCTCTAATCCCTCCTCTTTCTCTCCTGTTGGCTCCTCCTTTCCCATAAAGTCTTTCCCCTCTATTTCCCAGCTCCCAGGTGAGGTTTCTCTGTCCAGTCTTTCATCTCATTCTGGGCTTTGAGCACAACAAGGTAGAGAGTCCAGTCCCCAGTCATACATCATTTGCAGAGCTCATTGTCTCATGCCCCTCAGCAGGTAGAGAGTAGAGGAGGGTGGCTCACCTGTGGGAAGGCTGTCAGTCTTGCCACCCTTCTTACAGAAAGACTGACAGAGAGCACCTGACCCACGGTCACTCCACGCGATTTATGGCTCAGTTGAGATATGGGCCCAAATCTCTTGAGCCCTAGTCTAACCCTCTGACTACTAGACCACACTACCTGCAGTTCACCCCACCACCTGCAACTGGAAGTGATATTCTCCCTGAGGGAAAATGTTGGTACTTGATTCTGCTCCTTGCATGAAAGGTCTTTAGCCTCCGCAGCCATACAACCCAACCTTCACCTATTTTTTGTTCTCTTCCGCTATGCTATATATATGTTACAGAGAGCCAGTCTTTAGAAAAGGGAATTCCTTAAGTGCTGAGAGTATCTGAGTCTCACTGCAGGAACTTTTCACACCTCCCAAAGTTTTCCAGTTGGCTTGTGGTTTTTTTTTTCCATTTGGGCTTCAGGAGAAGACAAGCTTTGTCTGCAAGTTGACTGCTCAGTTACAAAGGTCTACTTGAACCTTGTGTCTTAAACATTCATGGATTTTAGCTTGCAATGACTAGCTATCTAGAACATGCCCTTTGGCCCTGGGTTGCCTAGCTTACACCCACTACTTGCTCATTCTGACCTATAGGTGTGGCAGGCAAGAGGTGCCTGCACTTGCTTTGCCTGCCATTCCATTGATGAGCCCATTGTTGACCCTCCAGGGGCGAGGGGCAGAGACCCACAGTCACCATGGTGCTCACCACAGAGGTGAGGTTGAGAGTTGTATGTGTAGGACAGAGTGATGTAGCAGATGAGTTCCCCCCAAATCAAGATGTTGGAGAATCATTTAATTCTGTTAAACTAGCCAAGGTGTATCTGGCCACCCAGGATCCCCACCTCCTGGGAACTTCACGTTGTCTGCTGCTGACCAGTGTCTCCTTTGCCTTGCCTTGCTTTCCCTTAGGTTGCTTTTGGGTTGCAGGAGGTCCTAGAGGATTGCTGGGACCCTGACCCGGAGGCTCGCCTGCAAGCCCAGTGTGTCCTGGAAAGGTTGCAGGTGCTAGGAGCTGAGGACCTGCTGCAAGAAGACTGAAGGCTGAAGTCCATTCTGTGTTGGGCTTTTGCTTCCTTGGCTGAGCAGAGCTTTTTTCCCTTTTGCTGAGAACCAACACGGACCCCTTGCGGAAAAGTCCTCTCAGGAGCAGTTTGTTAGTTGGACCCTGCCTGGAACTCATCTTAATGACCAGGGTGTGGTTTTTTGTTTGCAGTGCTTTCTTTAAATACTGTCCATATAAGTCACATCGTGAACTCTGGCCGCTGAATCACCTTAATCTGCATGTTGCGTATAGGTTTCCACCATGCACCTTGCTCTTGCCCCTTGGATTAATCTCACTGCTTCCTGCAAGATAACTGATGCCTGGACAAGGCAGGACTGCATGTATTCTGTGGTTTGGGCAACAATACCAAGCTCACTCTCCTCTGAGTAAGTTTGATTGAACACAGTCGGCCATACCTGGGAATGGGTATGAATAAAGTCCTGCTGCTTAGAAGCAGAAGTTTGTTCTGGGAACAGAATTCACTCCCTTAAGAAGATCTGTTTTCTTTAAAGCAAAATGTGTGTCTGCTCAGTACGCTTGTGAAAGTAGGCTTGCAAATATGCATATAGTGTGTAGCAAAAGGAACACTGGAAGTTCCAAACAAGGCCACAGAAAGCTTTTGGCATTTGAGAAGACAGACAAAAATGGGATAAGAGACCGAAAAAAGAATAACAATAATAATAAAGAGGGCAGGGAGAAAGTAGACTGTATGGGACGGGGTGAAGGGTACTCTTTGCTGCTTCTGTCCCATGTGTGTGGCTTCCTATAATAATAATACTAATAATACTAATAATACTAATAATACTAATAATACTAATACTAATAATACTAATAATACTAATACTAATACTAATACTAATACTAAT